TAGTGGTGCACATCTTTATTCCCAGCACTCAGGGGCAGAGGCAGGTGGAGGGTCTCTGTTGAGTTCCAGGCCAGACAGAGCGGTACAGTAAGGCCCTGTCTCCCAAAAGTAATGTCTTTCCATTTAATGAAGATTCCCCTCTCGAGATGGAGAGATGGCTTGATGGGCAAAAGTGCTTGGTGCACTTGCTTGACCTGAGTTTGATCCCCCAGAACCCATCCTAATGCAATGGTGTGCACCTATAATTCCTGCAGCGCTCCTGCAAGAGATGGAAGATAAGAGACAGAGAATCAGCCCATAGCTTGCAGGCCGCCCAGCCTGGAAGACTGTCCCAGAAACTTGGTGGAGGGAGAGAAGACTGCCCTCTCCATATCTCCATATCTGTGTGTGTGTGTGTGTGTGTGTGTGTGTGTGTTTTACAGAAAAAAAAAGAGGAAAAATAAAGGCTTTTGTCTTTTTAAAAGACATTTATTTTTTTAAAAGGCATTTATTCGTTTGAGAGGGTGCCCATGCCCACTTAAACCATGAGACAAAATAAATTTTTATTCCCTAATTGCTCTTTCTGTGGAGCATTTGGTCACAGTGACTATCCAATTCCCAGCACCAGAAAAAAAAAAAAAGTGTGTAGTGACGTGAATGTGTTTCATCAACCAAACAATAGGGCAAACGGAACAAAATGGGCGCATAGTGTGTCTAGTGCCAGCAGAAAGAATGGAAATGGACATCCAATAAGCCCGTCTGAGGGAGGAATTTTAGCTCTTTATTGACCTAAATAATGGCCTGCTAGAACTAAGGGCATTAATGTACCGACTAAGGACAAAATGTAATTGTTCTCTCTGAAAAAAATGTTTGACCCTTGAAGCAGAAAACACCTAGAAAAAGACAATGGAGTGTATAATTCTGGTTTGCCTACAGAGCTCAGAGCTACTGATCAGGCAAGCTAGATAAAGGCTGATCCAGGAGTTATATGATGTCTGGGATTTACAGCAAATAATGAAAGTAAAAAGACAGTGTGAGGGTTAGGTGAAGGAAGTCAGCTCAAGAATCAACAACTCTGGCTTGGGTCGGCCGGGTGCTGGGGGGGGGGGTGGAACACCTGCACAAAGCCTGTGTTCCCTTCCTACTTAGAGAAGCAGGTGTTCTGTGACATGCCCCCAACTCCTGCACCCTGCAGGCCCAGGCAGGAGGTCTGTCCCGAGTTCAAGGCCAATGTCTGTCTGGGTTACATAATGAATTCCCACACCATCCTGAACTACAGGGTGTGAAAAAAGGAAAAGGGAAAAACATCCATAATAAAAAGTTAAAAAGCAAACAAAAGCATTGGGAATGACAGGGTCATTGTATCTGGGATCACACATCTATCTTTAGGATTTCCTGAAAGTAAATCGGTGGCTCGGTAGTTCAGAGCTCGGACGTGCTGCACGCCCAGAGGGAGAAGTCACAGCACCTACATGGCAGCTGACAAACCAGCTACAACCCAGTTCCAGAGGATCCAAAGTCCCCTTCTGGCCTCCGAGGGCACCAGGCACACATGCGATAGACAGACACACATGCAGGCAAGACACCCATAGCAAAAAATAATTTTAATTAAAAAAAAAAAGGTTTTGGGCTGGAGAGATGGCTCAGAGGTTAAGACTGTCCTGCTCCTCCAGGGGCTCAAAGTTCAGTTCCCAGTATGCACCTTGGGAGGATCATGACCGTCATCTCCAAGGACACCTTCCCTCTTGGGCATGTGCCTCCCCCCACACACACATAGGCACATCGTTAAAAAATAACGTAGCTTACTTAATACTTGCTTGCTTTCATGCATGGAGTCCTGAACTTGATCCCTAGGTAAAGCAGGTCTGCAGACCTAGCGATAGAGAGGCAGGGGGATCAGAGGTTGAAGGTCCCCCCAGCCACCTAAGGGAGTTTCAGGCCAGCCTGGGATACGTGAACATCTGTCTAACAAGAAAGGGAATGCTTTCTTCTCTTTAAAACTGGTACAGTTTTGTATGTTATATATATACATTATACGTTATATATACGTATTACGTTTATATACGTTAAAGGACCTCTGAAATGTAAAACTAAAACAGAATATACCTGTCTTTGTACATCGGGTATAGTTAAGTAATATGTAGCAGATGCCAGAGTTTTAAAAATCAAGCTTGTTAAGGTTGAGGTGTCGCTCAATAGTCACTGCTTGCCTAGCACGGCAAGTACTGGGTTCAACCCCCAACACTGCAATAAGCAATTAGATAAATACAAAAAACCCTACATTTATTCATGAAGCTTGGAAGGGAATAAGCATTTCTGCCTTTCAAGAAAAAATGAAGGACCGGATGGTGTTGGCACACACCTTTGATCACAGCACTCGGCAGGCAGAGGCAGGTGGATCTCTGTGAGTTGGAGGCCAGCTTGGTCTACAAAGTCAGTGCCAGGATAGCCAGTGCTGTTATACAAAGAAACCCTGTCTCAAAAACAAAAAACAAAAGGAAATACAAAGGAATTGCCTTGGCTTTTACAGGACACCCTGTGGAGACAATTGAGATCACTCCCATTTACAAACACACCATGGGACTGGAAAAGCCTTCTCTTAACCAAGTTCCTTCCTTTCAAGGGTGTACTAACTTTACCCACACATTAATTCATTTTTGATGAAAACAACCCAGCCCTATTTTCACACATCATAATGCTTGGCCTGTAAAAAAATGATCTGCATCAAGATAAATGTGTATGGTTTTTTTTATTCACATCTGGCCACCCTCTCCCAGGCTGTGGCAGCATTTGTTCCGGTAAGAAGCAATGAATAATTAGTCTCCAGTGCCATTAGGGGTGCACACCGGCTAATGGTTAACCACCCCTGAACCCTGAATGGAAAGCCTTAAACACACACAGAGTCTCATTTCAGATCTTTGATCAGGAGATTGTACAGATCTATAATAATTAGGAACCAGGCCTGCACGTCTGATAGTCAGAGACTTGCATAACGTGTAATCCATACAACGGGTTACTACTCAGTCATAGCAGTGATGTGACGTGGCAGTGTGGTATAGGCCCCAGTCCCGCCTTCCACCTCCTTACCTCCTGAGGTAGCCACCCTCAATATTTTCTTGAGGCTCATCCTAAAATATGTAGGAAATCAAACACTTTATGAAAAGTGTCTTTGTACTGTCTTTACAACGTGTGCATGTTTTGTTTGTGTGTGCACAGACAGTCCTGGGCCATGTGGTGTAGCACACATAGAAAAAAATGGTGGTTTCTTAAGATGGAATAGCCTTGCCATGTGTGGTGCTACACACCTTTAATCCCAGCACCAAAGACAGAGGCAGACACACTTCTGAGTTCCAGACCAGCCTGGCCTATGTAGTGAGTTTTAGACCAACCCAGGGGTACATAGGAGCTCTGGTCTTTAAAAAAAACAAAAAAAACAAAACACAAAAACCAAGAGTGGCCTAGTGACCAAGGGACGTCATATCCACTCTGGATGAGCCCTGAATGATGCCTGCATAACGAAGTCACCAAACAACTAACTGTTCAGATTGTGTTACCATTGTTAATTGATGAGTCAGGCTGATTCCTCTGTCATACAGCGACAGCAAATTATGTCCTTCTCTGTATTTTTTTGGTTATTTGGATTCTTTTTGTTAATTATTTTTGTAAACTTCTAACCTGGAGGTTCATTTGTGTGTGTGAGAGAACATGCATGTCCCCCAGTGCCTGAGGAGGCAGAAGAGGGCTTCATATCCTACGGAGCTGGACTGAGGCAGCTCTGAGCCTTGTGGTAAAGGTGCTAAGAGTTGAACCAAATCCTCTTTGAGAGCAGCAAGAGCCTGCACCCACCCCATCATTTCTCCAGCCCCTGCCTCACCTAACACCGGACTGTCCCTTCTTGCAGCTGAATGGCGTCTTCTCTGAGTCTGTGTCTCAGGTGTGCTATAACCATTTACTCTGCTTTCCTGGCGTTTGAGAAAAGGAGCAAACAGAAATGGTTTTCGACAAGGTCTCTCTATACAGCGGCCTTGGTCTCAGGTGTGTCCCACCTCAGCCTCCTGAGTGCTGGGCTTATGGGATGTACCATATGACTGGCTCTGCTTTTTAAAACATTCTGCATTTTTTCCTTCTATCCAACATAATTTAATTTTTTTTCTAAAGTGAATTGCTCATAAAAATGTGTACCTTGTGCTGGCTCTCTAGTAGGTGGAGTGCTTGCTGGTAAGCTGGTCAACTGAAGGGGAGAACCAAACTGTGTCCTGACTGTCACCCAGGTCCCTCCCATACCCTACACCCACACAATATAAACACATATTTATATCTCTATCATTTCTGGTTCTAATTGGAAAGACTTTCCTTACTCCAACATCATACAATTCTTTGTGCCTCCTTCTAGAACATGGTGTCACACCCCTTACAGTACCATTAGAATATACTTCCGTGAATTAAAAAAAAAATTTTTTTTCAGGGATCGGAGAGGGGATAGCCCTGGCTGTCCTGAAACTTATGTAGATGAGACTGGCCTTGAACTCACAGAGCTCCACCTGCCTCTGCCTTTCAAGTACTGGGATTAAAGGCATGTGCCACTACTGCCCGGCCTACATTTATTAAAATGAATTTTATTTTTTGTTAAGGTAAATATAGCGCTAGCTTTATGCGTTTAATTTTTGTACAGCATCTCACTGTGTTGTCCAGGCTTGGCCTTAGTTTAAACTCAAGCCATCCCTCTGCCTCATCCTTAGGAGCCTGGCCAATCTTTCCTGCTTTGTCAGTTTTTTGAGACAGGGTCTTTGTTATGTAGCTCTGGCTGCCTTTGAACTCATGTATACCAGGCTCACCTGGAACTCATGCTGCTGAGAATGGCTGGGGTAGAATGTGCTATGTGACACTGGTTCTCACCTCTTTTCCCTCACTGTGATGGGCAGGAAGTCCTGAGCAGTCCTGGGCTCAGCAGTTCTCAGCCTGTGGGTCAGGAGCCCTTTAGTGGAACGAATGACACTTTCACAGGGGTCACTTATCAGATATCCTGCATACCAGATATTTGCTTTGTGATTCATGACAGTAGCAACATTACAGTAATGAAGGAGCAGCAAAAATAAATTTTTTTCCCACAACATGAGGAACCATGTTAAAGGGTCACAGCATTAGGAAGGTTGAGAATCACTGTCCTAGCTCCTCTCAGTGCCTGCTGCTGTTCCCAGGTTTTGGGGGACTTGGTGCCTTCAAAGGAGTAAGCACAGAGGCAGGGCAGGCCGAGCTGCTGAAGCCATGGTGGAGTACTCCCTCGGTATGTGTGAGGTCGGGAGTCCCATTCCTAGAACATTAAAGAATAAAAGGAAGATAGAAGGGACCAGGGAGCTCGACCAATGGCTAGAAATATTTGCTGTGTAAACATGAAGACTTGAGTTAGAATCCCCTCACTTACCTATGTAAAAGCAAGGCATGGTTGTGGGTGCCTCTAACCCCAGAGTTGATGGGTTGATCCAGAGAGCCTGACTGTAGAACCCTCAAACTTCAGGTTCAGGATGCTCCCCTGACCCCCAGTCTCAAGGGACTGAGGCTGAAAGAGGCAGAGGAAGACACCAGCTCTGGCTTCCCAATGTGAAGCATGTGCATACCTATTCCCATTTATAGACAAACGTTAGAGTGAACAAAAAAGAAGAGAGGATGGGGTGAAAATCTATTAACTTCCAGCATTGAGATCTTACGTGATTCTGATCTTAGATCAGACCTTCCAGAATGACAGGATTTCCTAAGAAATCTATGCCGAGTACCTTGTTTTACGTCTTTTAGCTAGGTCACATTTTGGATGTGTTGTTCAAGTTATCTAGGCTTTAAAATATACATATAGTTTATACAATAATCTGGATATTAAATGACAATATTTAAATATTTCACAAACTATGAAGCACAGAAAAGATACAAGATGTTGAAAGTAGTCAGGCAGTGGTGGTGCACACCTTTAACCCCAACACTGGGAGGCAGGAGGATCTCTGTGAGTTCGAGGCCAGCCTGGCTTACAGAGTGAGTTCCAGGACAGCCAGGGCTGCACAGAGAAACCCTGTCTGGCCCCCACCCCCGTGTTGAAAGTAAAGGGTATGCAGACTGGACTCAGTGTTTTGTTCTGTCTCCTAGATTCTAAAGTCGATGGTCGGAGGAAAACTATAGATATCTCATCCCAAAGGGGGTTAAGAGATCGTGGCCCTGGGGAACCTGAATTTGGGTAGACCCCAGAGACATGTTCCAGCGTGGAGATTAGTTATCCCATGAACTCTTAGTAACAAACTAAGCTGCAAACGAATGCACCAAATTCATTGGTGGTGCTGGAGGGAGGGAGGGAGGCAAGGGAGGGCAGAACAGGGGAAGCCTCCACTCTGACGACCTCTGTAGCCTTCCAGCTGGTGGAAGGGGCGGGTCTAAAGATTTTAACTGATAGTAGTATAGGTTAGATACAGCGCAGGTGATAAATAGCTATTGACCGGATGAGACAGGTCAGGATAACCCGGCTCTGGATCTGTATCATTCCAACTCTCCCCAACCAGGACGTTCTAAATCGGCAGCCAGTTCACAGAAACACAACTCTATGTGGCCTTTCCGGGGAACTTCAGTCCAGATCAGCCAGGTAAATACGAGTGACTTCTTAACTGTGGAAAAAGAGCGGCTGGGGGATCGTGCTGACTTGCACAAAGTGCTCAGAAACAGAAGCAGCCCTGCCAGCTACCTCTACTCATAACTGAAGAGTTATCCTTATGCTAATGTGGATAAATTCAACACAAGACGGCTGGCACTTGGAAAAATACAAGTGCCCGCTTCTAGCAGCCCTGAGATGTGACAAGATGATTACAGGTCCCCTGTGCAGTGTTTGGAGCCCAGCAGCCTGCATATTTTATAAATATCTGCCCTGCTGGGCTGCGAGCAAAAGAGATCCGATGACTGAGTCAGTCGCCCCCGCCCAGACCCGGCCCAGCACCTGAGGGGAATCATACCATACCTAAGCAATTGTCCAGATGAAACAAACGCCTCCCTCCATCCTTCCCACAGGCCTGGTACCAATAACAGCAATTACATCTTATAGCTCCGGGCCTTTTCTCTCCGCTTTCCCAAGTTTGAGCCCTTCAAAAATCTCTGCAGACCGCGAAAATTAACTCGTCTTTTAACAACTCTGCTTGGCTGAAGGCACCGAACAGGACTGCGTGCATCGCAAAGAAAAGTAATAACCAAAAAAAAAAAAAAAAAAAAAAAAAAAAAAAAAAACTAACAAATAGTTGTGGGACACTTTTATCGCTAGGTTGTGAGAGCACAAGGCCACCGCTCGGTTGTACTTAAGCAATTTCATGAAGAGGCGGTTTTTTTTTTTTTTAAGAATCCCGCAAATAACACGTGGCAACGACAACTAACCCCGAGAGTCAGTTGCATCAGTGACGCGGAGAGGCCGGGAGACGTTGACAGCGACACAGCCGGAACTCGAGCTGAAGTTTGTCTTTCTGCGGGGCAGACAGACGGTGGCTAACAAAAATACTGCGGGTGTTAGCACTCGTGCGGGGGGCGGGGGGCGGGGGGAGTCGTTTCCCCTTTCCGGAGCTGTCCAGGGCGGGCGCAGAGTCCCGCAGGAATGCGAAGCTCCTAACGAGCTCTGCTCCGGCCTCCGGGGTGGGGGGAGGGGGAGGGGCGCCAGAAGGCTCCAGCTGATCCCAGAATCCGGCCCGCGCGTTCTGGCTTCCTAACGGCCTCGAGATGATTTACACGAGCAGACGGTGTGCCTTGGCGGGGTCCAGCTGGCCTTCGCGTCACGGTGAGTTGTATTCTGCATTTTCCCTCCCCTCCCCGTTTGAAAGAGGCTTCTACTCCCCTCTACCCCTCCCGCTTGGCCCTGTCAAGTTTGTTTTCAAACCGTAAACCCGGTTTCCATCTCTGTTGCCCGCCCGCCGGATGGCATTCGTGAGCCAGGCTGACTGGGAGCAGAGTGGGGGGGAAAGGGGGGAAAAAGAAGAAGAAGAAGAAGAAGAAAGAAAGCTACCTTTGTGTGCATAACGAGGGGGCAACCGCCGGGAAAGGAGCGTTTCGGCCTCGCGCTGCCGCGGAGGCGGCTGGGTTTAGCCGACCCGAGGCGGGCTCCGTGAAGTGGCCCCGAAGCCACTGTCCAAGTTAGCAAACAAAGCCACTAGGCAGTCACCGCCGGGCCTGGACGGGACTCCTGCCACTCACACGGTCCAGCCCCTCCTCCTCCTCCTCCTCTCCAGACTCCCCAGCGGATGTGAGCCACCAATCCCAGCCACAAACAACCCTTCAAAAACCAGAGAAGGCAGCCCCCTCCCCGCACCACATCAGTCCCGCACCCGGGCGGGCGCTGCAGCAGCCGCTGAGTCATCGCCAGCCAGGTCCCGGAAAGCGCTGCGCCCCGGGGCAGTTTGCAGAGAGGGGCTTGCCAGCCGGTGGGTTCTCCCTGGACACCGTCCTCCAACCGCCTCCTGCGCCTGTTTCCGCGTGTGCTCTCTGCCAGCCACCAGGGCGCGCGCGGCTTGCGGGTGGGGGTGGTTTTTCTGGGTTCCTGCCTCACAGTGACTGCTCCCCCGCAGTTGGTTCGTTTTGGAAAAACCACCCCAAGCTTTCTTTGACTCTGGGTTTTAACGCGCTCTCCAGAGGGGTTGTCTTTGGGAAGGGGGCGCGGCGAAGGCTTGGTTTAATTTCCAACGTGATCGTAAATAGACTCCAAAGTCTAGCGGGTCATCCCGTGGCCGCCTTAAGTGTGTCTCGGGCTTTAACCTTGTTTTCACCGGGATGTCTTCTCCTGCCGGATCTCCACCGAGGTCACAAAACCAGAACAGCCACAGAGAGCCGAAACTGGAGACACACACCCGCGCTGACGTCGCCGCTCGGCTTATTTACGTTTGGGTTTTTTCTTTTTTTAGGTAATGGGGAAAGTCTTCTGTGACATGTTACAGTTGGTTTGCTTGCTTTTTTTTTTTCTTCTACAATCCAGCATAGGTGAAAACTAAACCCAGAAGTGCGGGCATTCGAGTCTTGAAGTCAGCCAAGACAGCATCTGGGTTGTATTGGGGGGTGGGAGTCATGGGGGAACTCCTATTGGCGCTCCCCTCTCAAGCAAAATAAACCAATAGGAACGAGTGTGTACTTAATGGCCAGTTTCTGTTTGAAATACTGAAGGGTGGAGGGGGCTATCCTCTGGTGGGCACTGTAGCCCACAAAGTAGACACTGTTTACTGAAACGGACGAGCAGTCCCCCCTCCCCCGCGTGGTCACCCCTCTTCTATAAAGGCGTAGCTGCGGGGGGGGGGCAGCGGGGCGCACACGCTCCCCGGTTATTCCCAAGCTGAGTCGTTTAAAGAACATGTGAGCATGACAAGCGTCTATCCGCAATGTGTTAGATTTCGAAACTGTCCTGCAATCCAATCCGGAACTCAGAGCCCGGGGGGACATTCGCCTAGGTTGCCTATGTCTGTGTCTCATCCCCCCCTACACACACACACACACACCCCTCCCTCTGTCAAGAAGAGTCCACGAGGAGAAGGGTGCGCCCCGCCGTTGCCGCGCCCGCGTGTCAATGGCAGCTGCGCCTTCTGGAAGAAGTTGGTTCTTGTCCGGAATACTTTTCCTCCGGTGCCCCACCCCTTGAGTCAGAAACCGCTGCCTCTTGTGGCTGGAGCAGGGACAAGTGAAGTTTGGGGCAGCTGTCAAAAACAAGGGTGGGGGTGTCTTTTCTTCTCTGGGGTGGACGGGACTGGATGGGGGGAAGAGGTGTCCTTAACCCTGTCGCCATCTGTTGCAAACTAAATGCACTTTTCGCTCGGGAGGAAAGGCCCCTAAGGAGAAATCGGTGTGGCCGCCGAGGGCTGAGGGATGTGGACTGTACTAGCCCTACAGGCAGGCAGGCAGGACCCTGTTTCTGGGCTCCGCCACCCCAGAGGGACCGATGACCGCGGCCCCCCGACCATGGCTGTTGAGCTGGAAGGTGCGGGGGGGAGGGGCAGAGGAGCGGCTGGGCGGGCGGGGGAGGTGGCAGGCTGCTGGGGGGGGAGGCAGGACCTCCTGTACCTTCCCTCTGCTCTCACTCTGACAGCGCCGAGGTGCGCGGAGAGAAGCGGGAAACAAAGGAGCTGAGTAGGGAGGGGAGTGAGTTGGGCCAGGGAGAGCCCCCGGCTGACTGCCAGAAGATCCTGGCTGGAGGAAGCCCAAGTGTCACTTGAATTCCAAACCCAGGAGCCAGCGCCTGGGACCCAAAGCACCTTGTTTAGCAATAGTGGCTGGAACACTCTCCTGTAAGTTCCCGGAGCGCCCGTAGAGGAGGATCATCGCTCACCCCTACCCCGCCTCTCGGACTGCCGGTCCCTAGAAACCCCAGCTTCACCTCTCGCTGGGACTGGAGTTCCAGAATGAAAAGCAAAAAGGGTAAGGCTGCGGAGTGCTGTGAGCACCTGGGCACCAGAGCGGGACATGTGCAGTCTGTCCGTCCGCGCTGGGCCGGGGGGACACTGACTTTGGTGGACTTTTCCGTCCAGTGGCACCCGGGCTAGAGAGAGGTGGCCGTTGTCTTTGTTGAGGCTGTGTCTTCAATGGCAGTTGCTGTGCCTTTTCCTCCTAGACACAACACGAGGGGCTGTTGTGGGGAAGACAGCCTCACCACGCTGCTGGCGCGTTGTCAAGAAACGCGCTCAGTGCCTTGTTTGTGCGCCTCCAAGTTTCATTGTCTTCGCTGACACTCCATGCTCACCCCAGCCGCCGCGTGGTTTCTCTTGCAGTTTGTGGGACACAGGGGTACGGGGTGGTTGTTTAAGGAGACCCTCACACCTCACTCCCCCCACCGGGGGGGGGGGGGGTTGGCCCTTTCTGCTCCCCTTCCCTTTTGTCTTAAATTC